AAAAAAAAAAAAATACCTTCGAATAATGTATCAGATGATATCTATATTATTTGATATAATCTAGCATCCAGAATATATAAAGAACTCTTTCAATTCAGCAGCAAAACTATAAATAACACTATGAAAAAATGTGCAAAGGACTTGATGGACATTTCCCTAGAAAATATCCAAATGGGCTTGGCACCTGTGGCTCAAGTGGCTAAGGCGCCAGCCACATACACCTAAGGTGGCTGGTTCAAATCCAGCCCGGCCTGCCAAACAACAATGAAGGCTGCAACCCAAAAAAATAGCCAGGCATTGTGGCGGGCGCCTGTGGTCCTAGCTACTTGGGAGGCAGAGGCAGGAGATTCGCTTGAGCCCAGGAGTTGGAGGTTGCTGTGAGCTGTGATGCCATGGCACTCTACCCAGGAGGACAGCTTGAGGCTCTGTCTCAAAAAAAAGAAAAAGAAAATATCCAAATGACCAGTAAATGCATGAAAAAATGCTCAGCAAAATTTGTCATTAGGGAAATGAAACAAAACCACTATGAAAGGCCAGGCGCGGTGGCTCTGGTCCACAGTCCTAGTACTTTGGGACTCCAAGACTGGTGGACTGCTTGAACTCAGGAGTTTGAGACCAGTCTAAGCAAGAGTGAGACCCCATCTCTACTAAAAAATAGTAAAAAACTAGCTGGGTGCTGTCCTGAGCGCCTGTAGTCCCAGCTAGCTACTCTGGAGGCTGGGGCAGGAGGATCGCTTGAGTCTGTGAGTCTGAGATTGCTGTGAGCTGTTGACACCAGGGGACTCTAGGGCAAAAGAGTGAGACTCTGCCTCAAAACCCCCCCCCCAAAAACCAAAACAAAAAACCACCCTGAAATACCACTTCACATGCCCCTAGGATGACTACTTAAGAAACAAACAAACAAACAAACAAAAAGTGAATAAATAAGTGTTGGTGAGGATGTGAAGAAATCAGAATCCTGTGTACTGTGGGTGGGAAGGTCAAAGGGTGCAGCAGCTGGAGGGAACAGTCTGGCTGTCCCTCAAGAAGTTAAACCTGGAATTACCATCTGAGCCAGCCATTCTGCTCCTAAGCATACACCCAAAAGAACAGAAAACAGGTGTTGAAACAAATACTTTTACAAGGAGGTTCATAGCAGCACCAGTCACAACAGCCAAAAGACAAAAATAACATAACTGCCCATGGATGGATGAATGGATAAATTGCAGTATATCTATATAATGAAATATTACCTATAAAAAGGAATAGGGTGCGGTTACATTATAAAAGGAATGAACCCTGAAAACTTCACGATGAGTAAACGAAGCCAGGTATGAAGACGGATCAGTGGTTTCCGAGGGGTAGGACAAGGAGGGTGGAGACAGTAACTGCTTTATGAACACGGGTTTTCCCTTGGGGGTGATAAAAATGTTTTGGAACTAGATAGACATAACTGTGAATTCTACACTATAAAATAATTAATTGCATGTTTTGTGAATTTGAATTTTACCTCAATGAAAAAGAAAGAAAAAATTAAACAAGAAAATTGCACACTAAATTTGTTGAGACACAGATTCAATATTATGGTAAGTTATGTGTAGAGAAGGAGAAGTTTAACTTAGGAAAAAGACTGCAGGAGAGAAGTGTCCCTTAAGATGGGCTCTCTCTAATTTTCTTTTTTTTTTTTTTTTTTTT